TTGACTGATTTTTTTTTTTTTTTTTTTTTTTTTTTTTTGTAGAGACAGGGTCTCACTTTGTTGCCCAGGCCAGTCTCAAACCCCTTGACTCAATCTACCTGTCTCGGCCTCTCAGAGTGCTAGGATTGCAGGCGTAAACGACCATGCCTGGCCTTTAAAATTTTTAATATAGTAAATATTGCTGTATATCATCCACAAAAGCTCATTGAACTATTTAATAATTTCTACAAAGAAGTTGAAAGTCCAAGGCCAAGGAGAATCCCACAGGTCATCCTTAGGCAGGTGGACCACAAGGGGGCAGCATGCACTCTGGTAAATCCGGAGCCACCTTCCACCCATAGGACTCTTGCCTCATCTCCTTGTTTCTTCATCTCTCCTCTCCACTTCCTTTTTTCCTTCTCTGCATTCTCCTGTATTGCATAACCTCTTAGTTACAGGAAATGACAATCTCCTAAGCATAGGTCTTATCCAAACCAAGTCAGTCCATTTATTTTAGTCTGCCAGCGTTTGTCAGATGGTGCTCATAAGCAAAGCTTATCATCCAGGGATGAGTAAATTGAGAACTCCACTCTCAAGTTGTTAATAATTTGGTGAGGGAGACAGAGCCAAGGGCCAGTAATTATAAAGCCAGTCTGGTAATGTCTGTGAAAACCTTTTATTTGCTACAAACGGCTATACACTTCAAAGGGATTCCCAAGAGGCAGAGGAAGCCAACCCAAGATCTTGAGATATTTGCCAGGAATTTCTGGAGGGCCCTGAGGACAAAAGCCAGGCTCACCAAAGATAGGAGAGGAGGAAGGACTGGAAAAACAGAAGCCAGGGAACAGAAAAGGGAATACCAGCTTTCTCAGTTTGGAAGGTAAAGTCTCCCAGAAATCACAGGATTATGAGCAGAGGCAGGCAAGGTGGAGACGGGGGATCTGTCTAGACCTGGGGAAGTTTCAGGTTGAGGATCTGAGAAGCCAGCTTAGTGGAGGGGCTTCACCATGGATGCTGGAGCAGCCCAGTGCGGGGACAGGGACTGGGGCTGCCATCAGCAGGCATCTCAGGGACCTCAAGATGGACATGAGGACGGAAGGGGTGGTCAAGACTTGTGAGCTGAACCCAAAGATGACAGGATGGGGTCTAGAGTGACCTGTGAGTAGCTTCCCTGAGCCATCCTAATGCACCAGAGATCCAGAGGGAAGGGGGATGTCAGAGTGCCTGTAGTTAGGAAACTCAGATCCAGAGCTCTCCATGGAAGAGCACTTGGGAGCCCAAAAGGAGGAGGAGAGGGAGTAGAGAAAGAGGATGCACAGCTGGGTCCTAGGCATCAGCTTCCCTGTGAGGAGTGGGGGTCTGACATCATCTGCTGGAGGAACAGGTAAATCAAAAGGTAGTGCCTGGAGCCTCGAGGCTGGTGCTGTGCACAGAACCCACCAAGATCTCAGCGCTGACCCAAAAACCAGCTGTCCCAATCTCCTCACATAACGGATAAGAAGGTGGAAGGCTGAACATGGAACGTGACTTCTAAAGACCACACAGCAAGTCTAGCAACGTGAGGACAGGAGCCAGGACCTCAGTCCCTCCATCCGGGGCCCCTCAGTGCACCTGGCGCAAAACCCCATTATAGCACAGAGGACAAGGTGCTCAGAGAGGCCACAGCAAGAGGCTGCAAGGGGGGATGACACAGGCCCACTGTAGGTTCTAGGTGTCAGGGGAGGAGCACGACGGTTTGATTGTAGCTGCAGGAATCTCTGCCTGCTTGTTGGTTTGCTTCTTCGTTTTTAACCCAGAAAGCCACATCCTTTTCTCCCAATGGCAACCTTCAGAATCATTGTCCAGACTCAGGAAAAAAGACCCAACTCATACCCTAGCTGGAGGCTCTGAGTCTTCCTGGAAAATCAGTACCCTGAGGAGACGACCCAGCTTCCATCACCCTTCAGTCCAACCTCTGGCTGCCGCCAACAGGGAAGAGGCAAGTGGGATCAGGCCACTGATCAAGGCAGAAATAGCCTGCTTGGCTCAGAAACGGGTGGCTCAGCCTTGGCCTCACCTGAGCCTGGGTTAGCCTGGGATCTGGGGCCTGCTGGGGCCTTCTGAGATGGGGGCCCACTGTCATCATGGGCTCCCCAAGTGTGACTCCTGTCTGCTTTGAAGCCCTGTATGGCTGCTCACTCCCAGTGGCAAGCCTTCTTTCCCCTCTCCCCCATATCATTTTCATCCTGAATGAACACTAATTACAGTCAAGGGCTCTTCAGAAAGTCACAGCGCAAAGGGCAACAGACTAGTGTTCATTTCACACACACTGACTTTTTCATTTATTCATGCTCTCCTGCACTAATTCATTCAACAATATGTTCACCAGTGCCTACAGAGCCAGCTAGAACCTGGAGGTGAGCAAGCAGCAACCCCACCGGAAGAGGCCCAGTCGAGTGGGAGAGTCAGACCTGAAGATCGAGACCCCATAGCAGAGCAGAGGTGCCAGCACACACCCTACTTTGTTTTCAGTGTTTATGTTGTCCTTTAAAATTAGTTGACATATTTTATGAACAGGAGTTTTCACATAAAAATTCAGATTTCCTGGATCTTCCGGAGATCCAGCTGTCGCTTCAAATTAGAAACGCTCCCATTTGCCACAGTCTCCACCACTCAACCCTGAGGCCTCGAGTCATCCTCCCTGCCTCCCCCACCCCCACCCCCACCAGCTTCACCTGGGACCTTGTTCATGCAAGGGTGTGTGGGAGGACCTTGGTCCAGGGTGGAAAGTACTGGAACAGAAGCAGCAGAGGGCGCTATGGGAGCACCCAGGAAGGGCATCCAAAGCATCTCCCTGGACTGCCAGAAACGATGGAGATTTCTCAACAGCCTGAGAAGGGTAGGCACATGGCCAGCTACTAGCTGTTGTCTGTGCTCCGTTAGCTTAAACGATGGAGGATAGACTTGGTGAGGGACTGGACCAGAAGTTTCCATTCACGCGTTCCCTGGCTGTGTCTGCGCCGTTCATTCACTCATAAATGATGTACTCATTCATTCAAGCATGCATTCGGCAAGCATTTATTAAATACTTGCTGTGTGCTTGGCACTGGGCCAGACCCTGTCCTTAACCACCAAGAGTCTAGAATATGCTTTAGAAGACAAAAATAAGATTACGGTTCCATTCTGCATTGTGACTCACTCACCAAGTTCCCCCAGCATCTTTTGTTTGTGTCTGGAACACGGTCGCTGTCTAACCAATACTAGTTGCATGAATAAATGAAAAGGTCACTAATAATAATATACTTCTTATTTACCGAGCTCCTCCCAGCTTTACATGTACTGTTGTGAACCTCAAGGTAGACTCGGTTATGATCCTATTTTGCTGATAAGGAAGGCGAGACACAGAGAAGTTAAGTACATTGCCTAAGGTCATACAGTCAATCAGAACTCAACCACTGCTCTGTGTGCGTCCCAGCAGGGTAAAGCAGGCCGTGCTCAGGGTCAAAGCTCATCACACAGGAGTTTTCAGAGGACAGAGCAGTCAGGGAGACTGAGGCAATGAGGGAGGTTGAATAAGAGGACGGGTAGTGGTGGAAGGGAGAGCCATCTTCCCTGATGGAAGGAGGGGGCGGGGGCGAGCAAGAGGGAAGGGAAGGTGCCCAGAGTGGGTCCTCCGTACTTGCTTCCTGGGACAAGGAGCGGGATGCCGGTGGATAACACGTGATCATGCAGCCGATCCAAGGGGTTCCCACGTGCAGGGCCCTGTGGCTGTGTGGGGGAGGATGTGAACATGAATGAGACCCTCCTGTTGAGGATCTACAGCCCAGTTTTGGACAGAGGCACAAACTCCCGGAAGCAAGTGTTGAGAGCCAGAAGAGGAATGGAAATAATTGTCAAGCAGGAAGAGGATGATTCCAAACGAGAAAGACAGAGCAGGTGTCCCCGAAGGGGTCACACTTGAAGAGGTCACACATGAGTTGAGCCATAAGGGGCAGGCAGAACTTCCCTGTGGAGTTGGGGAAGGGCACTCCGAGGGTGGCAGAGTGGGAGGTGAGCCTGGCACACCCACAGAGTAGGGAGAGCAAAGGGGAAGCTGAGTAGACAGGCGGGGTCCACTCCGGGAGGGCCTCATTTGCTGGGCTAAGCATGACAGCTTTCTCCATGGACAACGGGGAGCCACTGAAGGTTTTTGCAGGGAGGGATATCTTGCCTACCAGGAGGCTATGATAGAAAAAGCTGTATTTTGAGTTGTAAGTTCCTGGAGCCCTTTTTGGGCACAGGATGTAAAGAAGTGATGTTAAACGATATTGGAAGCATTTTGCCCTGAGGATCTCTCACCAAGCCTGCAAGAGGGAGGTATCATCAGAATCACACTTAACCAGGAGCCAGAATATCTGGGTCTAAGTCCCGACATGTCACCAACCAGCTATGTGACCTTGCTGACCTTGCTTGGGTCTCTCTGTGGGTGTTCATTTCTTCATCAACAATGCAAGAAGACTGACCAATTCTGAGGACCCTTCTAACTCCAACTCCCACCCTGTGAGTCTAAGAACCACACCCCAACCCCTCACACTCCATAGAGCACTTATCAGAGTCGGGCAAGCAGGAGAGGAAGGCTCAGTCCATCTCTCATTGGACTGAAGGAAAGGGACAGACCCACATGAGGGAGGTGAGAGGGTTGGCGGCCCATGGGTCCTCGGCCCACAGCCAGCCTCTGGCTATTACAGATGGGACTGCACCCCACAGCCTCAATGGCACTGGGGGCTGTGGGGTGTCAGAGGGGTGGCAAGCTTGCTGGCTTGCTCGAGGTGAGCAAGGGCTTGGGGCGGAGGGGAAGGGAGTTAACCAACCAGCTTCCTCCCAGATTGGCTCCAGACCAGGGGTGGGAATTTCACAAAAAGGCAAAAGCCTGCATGTGAACACTTCCTGCTCCACCCCAGCCCCCTTCCTGGCAGCATTACCACACTGCTCACCTGTGAAGCAATCTTCCCGAGAGAGGGCCGAGTGTCCCGGCCTATAAATGCTGGCCCTGCACTGCTCTGTCAAACACTGTGTGGCTACTGAGCTTTGGTGAGTGAGTTGCCAGCTTCCCCAGGCAGAAACCTGCCTGGCCCATTTCTTCTTTTCTCCCCCATCCAATTTCCTTCCAAACCCTCCTCCTGGAAGCCCTCTTCGTTGACCCTACCTGCTTTAAAACTTGCTTCACATTTTCTTAAGTCATGTTCTGTTGGAGCTTCCTGCCCTCAGATGCTTGGTTTTTTGGAATTCTCTAGATACTTTAAAAATCATTTTCCACATGTATATCACAGGTTGTCTCCTAGTTAAGTTGCAGCCTGAGCTTTTTTTTTTTTTCCTGCGTTCCCCCTTCATTCCTACAAGCAGCAGGTAGGAAGTGTCAAGGAAGCCTAACAATCTTTTCTTCTAAGGGCCCCAACCTTTGCTTCTCCAATACACAGACAGAGTGTGAGAAGATGGCGGGCGAAAAGTCACTGATGGAAAAAAACCTGGAAACCATCATCGACACCTTCCACCACTACTCAGTACGAGTGGGACACCCAGACACCCTGAACAAGAAAGAGTTCAAAGACCTGATAAAAAAGGAGCTGCCAAACTTCCTCAAGGTAGGGTGTGGACTCTGGTGGGACTGTGCCAGCCTCGTGGCAGTTAGGGTCAAAAAGGGAGAATCTAGGAGAAAGTTCTAACTCCTGCATCGCAGCCTTCAGAGGCGGGGGGTGGGCGGGTTCCTGTCTCAGAATACGCTCAAAGTTGCACCACATGAGAGTCAAGAGATTGCTCCATTGGACGCCTGCCTTGTGCCAGGCCCTGTTCTGGGCAGAGAGATGCAGGAGGGAACGGGGAAGACACACAGCAAGTTTTTGACGAGTTTCAAATGCTAATAAGTGCCTCAAAGAAAACAGGATAGAGCAAATATGAATGAGACCCTTGGGTGACGAGGGCTGGTAGGGCAGAGGTGACTAGTTAGAGTGGATTAGAAGGACCTCTTTGAGGCGGTGACATCTGAGCTGAATGTTAGGAAGGGACGTTGAGGGGCCCCTGAGCCTCAGATGGGGACTTAGGGTAGAAGACTCAGAGAACTTTTTGGATCCTAAGTATCAGTGGTGGAAAGAGAATCAGCATGTGGAGACCACCATGACAGCACTTGCATGTGGAAAACACTGAGCAAATGTGAAGTTTCTTTCCCCTGATTCAATAGTGACTAGGCAGTTCTGGCAGGAAAAAGGGAGATCACTTCCCTTGTTTTCTTTTGAAATTTGGAAAATGTGGAGAAACAGAGACCTGGACTAAGAAGGGAGGGGACACATGGATCCTAATCTCAGTCCATTCCCAGAGCCAGACATCCTGAGGCAGGTCCCTGCCCCTCTGGGTGCCCCTCCCACCACCTTGGTGAGGTGAAGAATTCAGCCATCAGAGGCACCAGGGACACTGACAGCTCTCCGTGTTTGGGGACCTCATGCAGGCTGGATGCTGGATCAGGGTAGACAAGAGAGAGTCCAGCCAAAAGAGTGTAGTAGGCTTCTCCTCCGTGTGACCCTCCGTGCCAACATACCCTGAAAGAAGCAAAGCGATAGGCGGTGAAGGGAAGCTGGGTCTCGTGGCTGGGCTGCTCTGGAGCCAGAGCTCTTGCCAACTGAGCATCCCACAGGTTCCAGGAGGGAACTCAACTGAGGTGTCCCCACTGGTGGGCAGCCACGCTACAGCCAGCTGGTGCTCTTCTGTGACCCTCCTGGGTCTCTCCCCTCACCTGATGCCTCCTCTTTGTATTTTATCACACCCTTGGGCCAACGGAGGCGAGCACATACGTTGTTCTCTGCCACCACCCAGGGCCTCCTACCAAATCGTTTCCTCCATGCATCTCCACCATGTTGGTTGGAATGAGTTTCACTAATTAGTAACCACTAAATGGAAGGGAGGGGAGGGCAGGGGACGGAGTAAAGAGGAGGAGAATGACGGGAGTGGACTTGGCCTCTAAGTCACGTCTGAATTTGCATGCTCATGTGGCAGCTTCTTGGCCCCATCAACCTTGAAAACTAATTATCCTTTCTAGGATTTGTCTCCTCAATTCTCCCTCAAGGGAGATGACATTCCTACCTGTCCAAGTTGTCATGAGGACCGAGTGAGGTGACATTTCTAGACTCACTCATGGTGTGACTTTGTGGTTTCCGCTTCTATAAAACAGGAAGTTATAGGACCCAAGCTGCAGGTTTGTGTGGGGAATAAATTGGAAGGCATTTAGTGTGTGTTCAGCATCTGCTCCATCGTGAGCACTCGGGCCAAGGTTGCTTTTAATGTTGAACTCCAGCCACCGGGGTGAAGCTTCCCTGTGCATTTGCATCTGGGCACTCGCTGTGCTCCCCATTTCCGCCTCAGGCCACACCCATCCCTCATGACCCATCTCTCTGTCCCACCTGCAGAAGGTGAAGAAGGATGACGCTGAAATCAGCCACATGATGGAGGACCTGGACACAAATCAGGACAAGCAGCTGAGCTTCGAGGAGTTCATCATCATGATAGTGAGGCTGATCTATGCTTCCCATGAGAAGATGCACGAGGGTCAACACGGACCAGGCCACAGCCATGGGCCAGGCCTAGGAGAGAGTGGCTCTGGCCATGATGGCCATGGTCACAGCCATGGCCACGGCCACGGCCATAGCCACAACCACTAACCAGGAGGCCAGCCCACCCTGCGCCTGTCCACCCATGGCCCTGGTACCTGTCATGCCAAACTGCATTGGCTGTGAGGCTGAGGCTGGGGGCAAATAAAGGCTTCCTCCAAACCAGTGCTTTGCATGCTTCTTCCACCCCCGTCTCCCACCTGTCCTCTTCATAGCTCTGGGCACTAGACAGCCCCTCCCTCATCTGTGGCTCTACCCCCTCCTGTGGTAAAAACAAAATGAGAGGCAGCCCCTCGGGCTTACCTCCCTGACCATGTCCTCACCTCTGACTTCAGACCCCACTGGTCAGGTCCCAGTCACCCTGTTCCATCTCAGATTTCCTTGTCCAACCTGTCAAAATAGCCCTTGTCACTGCAGAAAGCAAAAGTAGGGCATCCCTTCCCTTCAACATGTCAGCCACCCTCCTACCCAGCCCTGACCCCCTCTCCACCCACTGCTGTCAAAACAGGCCCTTCTCTCCTAATAGAACCCTATTCCTCTGAAGTCATCCAAAAATGGACCTCGATGGTGCCATGTCTGGGGCAGAATACTGCAGCTCAGGCAGCGGGGACAAGGACAAATTGGGTGTATTTACCCTCAAAGTCATTTCTGGATCCAAAAGGGCAGTTGGATCTTTCTTAACAGAACTGGCGTCCTAGCTGCAGATGCTGGGTAAACTCTCATGCCCACCCCAGCAGATGGCAGTGAGAAAAGAGCCCCTGCTAGGCCATCAGAAGAAAAGAAATTCCAATCCTGGCTCTGTAGCTAAAATGCTCATGACTACCACAAGGACTCTGTCCTCTGGATCCAGAGAGACTTGGGGCCCTGAAGCGTCTGATGTTCAGCTTTGAGGGCCAGCTGTCCTCCCTGAGGTGACCTTCAGCTCCTGGTCAGTAGCTGAGAGCTCAGGCCAGCAGGGGTATTGCTTCTCCTTGCACACCTGCTGCCAGGCCTGACCCCAGCTGGCCCAGGGCTGCCACAGCCACCCCACCCCCACTCCCCCACAAACTGCCCCAGATCCAAGTGCTTACTTCAGAGACATCCCAGTGACTCCTCTGCCCTTTCCCTGCCCTCTGGCTATAAAGTCCCTTTCCCAGATTACAACTAGGGAGGGTGGGCCTTCCAAATACCAAAGCCCAGATTAGAGTCCCCTGATCCCTGTCCTTACAGCAGAGAGAAGACTTACAGAATTAGAATTTGGAAGAGCTAGAAAAGGGCTAGCAGTCATCTACTTCCTCTTTTTATAAATGAAGAAGCCAAGACATAGTGTGGAGAAGAGACTAGTCCAAGGTCAAACAGTGGTAAAGTTGGACAAAATAGTGCAATGAGAAAAGGGACTTGAATCACATCTGCTCCACTGGCTAGATCGCCTACCTCCTCCCCCATGCTGAGGATGAAGACACCAGTCACCAGGGTCGGATGCCAACCCTCCCCTTACTGCCTGGCTGTGGCTGTGGCTCCAACATGCCTGTAGCAGAGCGGGAATCTCTGCTCTGGGTACAAGGGCTCCTACTTGAAGGTATGAGGGTGTTTCCAGGAGCTGTCCCAGGCTGTGAGCATAGGCACCAGAGTCTAGACACACTCACCAGTCCCTTCTGTGCCTGACTTGGAGACCTGACAACTGAGGGCACTCATCTTCTGACAGCCCTTTGCTCTCATACATCCTGGGAGGAGTCACCATCTCCAGCCCCTTCAGAGGGCATCTTAGTACAGGAGAGACAGAAGTTACCTGGGGTTGGGAGGCCTGAGACCTGATGCATCTAGTTGATACTTCCCCATCCCCTCCCCACCATTACTTATCACAATGCATCATAAACATGTTCATGACTCTGCCACCTGCACTAGATTGTGAATTCCATGAGGGCAAAGTCCATGATATCTGTCTTTTTTATACTTTAGTCCCAGCACCTAGAGTAGCTGCTGGTCCATAGCAGGTTCTCAACAAACATCAACTGTATAAAGGTTTTTAAATTCCTCACATACTCCATGCTGTCTTTTCAGGAGAAAATGTTAGGAAAGGAGAATAGGGTTGAAAGGTGTTAGGGGGAGAGTAGGGTTAAAACCTGGAAATGGAAGACTTCTGGATTAATATCATAGAATCTCAAGCCTGAAAGTAAGGGCCAGCACATTTATGGCATATAAAGACCCCTCCCCATCTTGTTCAATCAGACCAGTTTGATCTGAAGAAAGCAATATGTCATTTAAAAAAACGTCATGAATAAAGTTTAAAAACTATTGATTTGAAAACTGTTGTCATGAAAAAGTTTGAAAATTTGATTTAATTCAATCTGCCCCATCCATTGAGTGATATTCCCCAACATCAGCCAAGTGGTTGAACCAACCCTGCCTGAATTCCTCCAGGAAAGGGGTATGTCTCCTCTAGCAATGACACTTACAATGTCTTTCATTACACTGAGCAAAAATCTATCTCCTCATGCCTGCCAAGTATTAGTCCTAATTTCCCTCCTACCCCTTTGAGGGCATAGAATAAATCTAATCCCATACCATCTGTCCTTCCATTCCTGCATCCACTCCTCTACTTCTTCAAAAAAACTCTCCCTAAATTACATCCAGTCTCTCTTCAGCCTCTTTGCCTCTCTACCAGGAACTTTCTATTCCATCCTGATATCTCTAGTAAGTCCCTTAGGATCCATCAAGTTTCAGAGCCAGTGCTACTGCCTCCATGAAGACCTCCTCAGCCATCTACCCTTCTCAGGAATATAGGGTTTTCCTCCTCCTGGCCTACAGAACTCTTTGATAACTGTATCATTGCATTTCAAACACTGAATTGCAATGCATCATCTGCAGGTCTGACAATGAACCCTGGAAAGCAGGAACTATGACTGACTTTCTCCACATCCCAAATCCTAGCATGAAACAAGCTCTCAGTGAGCATTTGTGAATGAACAAATGAAGGTAGGATGGTCCTGGGACCCAAGGGGGCTGAGCTCCTTCACACAAAGGGTACAGGGTTTGTGTGGCAGGTGTGAGGTGAGGTTGGCTTTCAGGAGATTGGGGTAGAGAGTATCCAGCTATCTAGAGACCTACAGGTTGGCAGAGGGCAGAGCAGCTGAGTATTAAGATGGCCCAGAAGACAGATCTTCTCAGATACCAAGAGTTCCTCTTTTGGTTTATGCCTCTGCTCACTCAGTGTAGGAAATTGTTCTAGACCTCAGGGGAAAGTCTGACAGCAAGCTACTTTCATAGGACCCTATGGGGTTTTCTTTCAACATGGTTTTGCAAAGCTCATCAAGGTAACTTAACCTCTTCCTTCCCATTAACTCCTTCCATTAAACAAAAATTCTGGTTCTACTGAGTAGAGTGGAGTAGGTTTCTCTCTCACACAGAAAGCAGCAAGCATGTCAATGTCAAGGTTAAGAGTCCCACAACAAGTAAGAATTGCTGACTACCTCTACAATTTATGAGTCTTTTTGGGAAACATGAAACTTGGGGATTTCCCCAGCATTATAGGGACTAAAGCCTGTCATCAGATGATTATCCACCAATTCCTCCAAAGATGAGTTGTCCTCCAGTCTGAAGTTAGCAGAGGAACCTGAACTTCTGGTTGCCTTTCTGGGAAGAATGAGGAAGAAGCAGTGGTGGTCTGAGCTGCTGGGCTCTGCCCAGATGATTCACAGTGCTGTGATCATGCTCAAGGATCTGGGTGGTGTGGATGGCTTCAGAATTTGGGGAAGAAATGAATTCACTTGTCCATCCACTTGTTCATGCACCACTCAGCAGACATTAACTGCAGACTTACCATCTGTCAGGCACTATATCTGAGGGGTCATGACAAATAAGGCCTGACAATGCTGTCAGGGAGCTTCAGGCCTGCAGGGGAGACAAGACAGCTCCCCAGATGATTTTTACATGGAAAATAAAAGTCCAGAGAGATGTAAAGTTTGGTGGGACATTCAGGTGGTAACAATGTCCTTCCCTGGGGCCATCTCCCTGGGGGGGTGAGTGTCAGCGTGAAGTCGAGGTTTGTGGCGACTGACATCCCAGGACAAACATGAAGGAAGTTCTGAGAGAGGAAACCATGTATGCAAAGGCCTGGAAGGGGGCAGGTGCAGGGTTTGAGCAGGAATGAGGAGCACTGGAGATGTTGGGGAAGAGGTGAGAGATACAGAGGTAAACAGGGCAGGTACAAGACCAAGGAACCCATGCTCTATTCAGTGGAATGGGGACAAAGCCCTGAAGGGAAGGGAAATGATTTAATCACATTCACATCTCATAGAAGTCTCTCTATCCATGGTGCATGGGATAGATTGGGGTGGGAGTGAGATCATAGGCATGTGACCTGCAAGGAGGCTGTTGTGATAGCACAGGTGTGCACTAGAGTGAGTCCAAGGTAGTGCTTCTCAGAAAAGGTCAGTTTAATCATAGCTTCAAACTACCCTAGGCTTTGTCTCAATTAGGCAAGGCACAACCCACAACCCCTGTAGGATAAATAAGATGTTTTTGCACGGTTTACCAAGACCTTGCCAGGAAGGAAGGCCTCAGCTTTCACCAGCCAGTGAGGCAATCTTTCACAACCCTGACACAGACCCTGCTTTGAAGGAAACTCCGGAATCCAACCTCAGGTCCCTGCCCCCTTCCAACAGTTGCTCAAAACTTATATTTTAGAAAGCACTGTGTCATAAATGTTGACATTCCAATTACTAATGTGATAACAAAAGATTGAAACAACTGGTTGCTCAAGTCCTGTTTCCTCTTGGGGCTCTAGCCTGAAGCAATTCCTCTATCCCAAGACTCCAATAAGTTCCTGGCAGATTGGACCCCCACTTACTGTCTTCAGAGATTCCCTCCCAGACTTAAGAGACAGGGAAGGGAAGCCCCCAAGGGAGAGTCAAACGGCATCTTTCTGTGAGTGTCCCAGGTTTTCCCTTTTCTCCATTATTTTGCCCATTCTCCCCATGTACCAAGAATTGCTGCATGTAGTGAGAAAAGAAGAGACTAACTCCCTGGATGAAGAGGGAAGAGGAGGGTGGCAGTCCCAGCCCTGGTTTACATCCGTTCCTCCCTACCACCTCTTTCTTGCCTCTCTCCCCCACATTCCTTCTTGACTTGCCCCTTCTCTTTTTCTCTCTACCTTTTCCACATCCTCTCCCTGAGCTTTTCCTCCC